TAAAAGAAACGATTAACTTTTGAACTTTTTTTTTCTCCTTAATACCGAACTTGCTATTAACCCTAAACTCACCAAAGGATTCTTTTAATTTTTTACTTTTATTTTTTTCATTTGTTTTTGGTAAAAATATATGTTGTCTGTAATGCGTGAAGATTGCTTTGACTCGCTAGTGTACCTAACTTTAACGATCCTTACAGGACAGAAATGATTATAATATGACAGCAAAGTGAATATAATATTCATAGTTAGTTAATTGATTTCAATAACGGTACCTACTATATCTATTTGATTGTACTTTATTTTATTTTATTTTGTTTCGTTTGATTAATGTCGACCAAAATCGAAAATACAACTCTGTCGACTAGAATAGAATTGATTTGATTTAACGTCATGTGAAGTAGGTTAATGGATACGTTTTCTCAATAATTTTCTTAGAAATTTCATAGTGTTCCCTTAAGTTCGTTCCAACTAAGAATTCTGGTGAAATATCAAAATCGTCAGGAGATAATCATATTCAGAGAGAAAGAATAAAACAAGAAAAATAATAAGAAAATATTTCCAAATGATGTGTGTGTGTGTGTGTGTGTGTTAACGTTGATAGATAGTTCTAATTTATATTGAGATGTCAATCGTCATAAATATTGGAAAAAAAAATAAAATAAAATAAAATAAAATAAAAAATATTATAGAAAAATATAAAGGAAAGATACTTCTTAAAGGGGATGAAAATATTGGCGCCATATTTTCACTAAAACTTGAAGGATGACTAATAATTGTCGGCCCCAAGTATGGTTCCTACGTGCCATCTTAAGCTCGGCTTATGCCGACCACATGCCCTGTGTTATTTAATATGGTCTCAGGTTGTGGGAGATATAACGGAACTTATTTTGAAAAATAAACGAGAACAAGCACGTTTGAAAGGAAAAAATAATAGGGACCAAAATTCATGCGGATTATTTAATAGGATGATAAATAATTGAAAATAAATTAAATTGCATAATATGTCGAACCTTGAAAAATAATAATACTATTACAATTATGGTTCAAGTGAACAAAAAATAGTGTTCGAGGAAAATACAATAATCTTTTAAAAAGATATATGAATAACTATAGTAACTGGAGCAACAGATTGTTCCATTTGTTTAAAACGATATCGGTTTGCAAAAGAAATCGAAGGACTCATCCTCGTAGGCTTTTGCTATTGGAAATAAAACAGAACTGAACGAGATGTTCGTACTTGTAATAACAATCATCGAGTACATCTCGTTGTTACATGCTTCATGAATATATATGTATATATATATTATATATCAATGAGAATTCACACTTAAGAAAATTAGATTGAAGTGGTGAAAAACCTTAACCCAATTGATTTGTGTATACGTATAAATCTTTCGAAATGTTATAAACGAAAAATCTAGGTCAAATTAGTTCCGTTTTGATAAGAACAAACAAACTAATTTTAAATTAATCGATAGTATATAATAATTCGATTATTTCTACATAGGTAGAAATTATCATTTGTACCTATATAAAATTGTCTCTTGTATTATATATATTTTTTTGTTTTTTTAAGCTGAAGAATAAAAGACAATTTTCTTTCAAATCGATTAAGTTTTATCAATGCAACTAATTAATATGAAGAAAAAGAGAAAGGATGAAAAATTGGTTTCTAACAGTTTCTTATCGGGGACCACTGATGGTGAGAAAGAAAATTTCTTTGGCAAAGTTCCAAACATGGGCCAATGGCAGTTTGAGCAGTTTGAGAAAAAAAAGTGGAAAAAAAAGAGAGCTTTCGTTCGCACGTGCTTTCTTTCGACACAACACCACAAGTCGACGAATTTCGTGAATCGTGACTTTTGCCACGACTTAAAAAGACGACGACGATAACCATGAAGAAAAAAATAAAAAGAAGATTAGGAGCAATATAGTAACGTTTAATTTTAGTTTAGTTTAGTTTAGGAAACGATCGAAATTATCTTGGCAACACACACTCTCTCTTTCTATTCCTATAACTTTTGCTAACTATAAATGCAATAAATTCATTGATCGTCAAGTTATTGAATAGAATAGAAAATAGGACGATGACAACCACCTGATGAAGTTTCATGATTTTTCTGGTACCTCAAAATCTTATCTTAAACCATAGAATAGAAATTTTCTTTTGAACCATTCCATGAGATAAAATTTTTTTTCTTTTTTTTTATTCTTCATCTTCTTGTCGATTAAATTTCACGCTTTGACCATGAAATTTCATAAAAGCCACCCTCCTCTTCCTTTTTTTTTCTTTTTTTTTCTTTTTTTTTCTTTTTTTTTCTTGAGAAAGATCGTGCCACGTTTTACGTTTAGTCACCGTCGTCAAACTAAGGCTTGCTTGCTTGCTTGCTTGCTTGGGTTTAGTAGACCCTTTCGAACTCTCTCTTTCTCTCTCGTTTGTCCCTTTACAGCTCGTTTAGTTTAACGAGCCAATGGAAAGGCAGACCGTCGTCTTTCTGCCGTGACTCGCGTGATTTTTCTTTTTTCCTAACTACTTCTTCTTCTTCTTCTTCTTCTTCTTCTTCTTCTTTGTTGTTGTTGTTGTTGTTGTTGTTGTTATTGATGCAATGTCCTTTCCCCTCACCAACCTCGTTTATGTTAGTTACAGGCGTTTAACGATTAGTTTCGCAACGACACCACAGAGATTCTAGATTATATGACCAAACAATCTAACTTGGTTTTTTTTTTATTTTGCTTTTTATTTCTGCTTTTTCCCTTATCAACAATCTTGTTAACTATAATAACTTTTTAAGTAGGATCATTAATATTTCGTTATTTTTTCCTTTCCTCCTTCTTCTTTGAACATAATATTATAATACGATTCTAATATATTTTCCCCCTCTCCTCTTTTTCTATTTCTAATATAATAAAATTGAATAATTTTATACAATTATAATATAATTGCAAATGAAGATATTTGTATCGAAGTATTTGTGTACGAACATTAAGCTGATTCATTAGCTTAGCCATATTTATAGGTCTTCATCATAGTCTTCGTTATTTCTCTTCTATATTATAAATGTAGTGTTTCATTAAACATGCCACCTGACGATAATGGTAATATATTATACTATCGCGCGTGTTTCTATACAAAATGTGAATCACGTTACTTATTTTCAACTTAACGATTTTTATTATTAACGAATTTAAACAAAATAGACAAAAATCTACGACCCCCCAAAGTTATTTTGTCTTTTTTATCATACCACATACCTTTTTATCCGATCAATATCTCGTTTATCATCTTACGCAGATGAAAATTTAATTAACTTATATCCTACATACACAGGTAGGAGAGAAGAAGATAAAGAAAAATAGATAATTAAATAAAAGAGTAAAATAATTGGAAAAAAATAGTTTTCTATTTTTTTTTTTTAATGAAAAAATAAACAAAAATTATGTGCACACAATATAAATTATAAGGATAAACATAGACCCGTGATCGATCGCATGTTAAAACAATAGCATGCAACCTTTTACGAGATTTAACCTTGATTGAAAGCCAAGAATAAAAAAGAATTATAAAAAGAAAGAAAAAAAAAAAAAAATAAGCATAAGAAAAAAATAGAAAAGCAAACGACGATTTAAAAAAACAACAAATAGGAAGATAAAAATAATAAATATCAAAACAATATATATATATATAATATAACGTAGTCAACAACGATAGAATGTATTACGTCATGCACACACACACACACACACACACACCATGCACGCACATATGTTTCTTACAAATCAAATTCACATGTTGCTATCATTATCATATATATTTGATTATGTTCAAATAAATGAGTGTTCGTACGTAAATGGTATAAAAGCGTATAACTAACATAAGAAGAAGGGACACGTGGGCAGTGTCGAATCGGATTGGTGGAAAGTCAAACTGAGAGAAATAAATTATTATACTAAGGCCCAACCGTTCATAGTGATGCATCCGAACATGTTAATACATCTCATAATGGGCCCTTTGTCGCGACGACCACTAACAATGCATTCGTTATAACACACGACCAACATAACACGCACAACTATACAGACACGAGGGATATCTTACATACTCACACGTTCCTGTCCACACACACACATAAATATTGGACACACCAAGCTCGTTAGCACCTTATTAGCATCATTCCTATATAATATATATACTTATACATTAGAGGTAAAATCTTTCTTCATAATTATAAAAATAAAATAATATAATATTCGATAGAAAATTTTGTTTAATACTGGAAATTCAAGTTGAATTTGTTTAATTTTGTATTTTGTATTTTGTATTTTTGTTCTCATCCCCACTCTGTGTTAGTTAGGAATAATTATAATGCACAACGTTTGTATTGTTCCTTATGTATTTATATAGAACGATTATGATAATAATATAGTGTAGTTTCGTGGCACGTTCGATGTTTGAAAAGCCCCCTTTACGTATCAATTCGTCTTTGGGTGGTCCATCCCATACTGGAGCATAAGTCTGGTTCTCCTTGTCACAATTTTTCTCTTTTAAAAGAATCCTGAAACCAGACACTCTTCTCTCCTACTCTTCCCACTCTCTTTCCTTACTTTACTCTCCCTTTTTTTTAAGTTTTTTTTTTTTCTTTTTTTTCCAAATCTTTCTATATACCCCTACCCTTTGTTGCTTCTGTTAGAATCTTTTACAAATTCATGCGTACATGTAAATATACATGTGAGTAACTATTTACGATATTCCCCCTTCCCTGGGGTTATATTCTCGAGTGATTTTTTGTCGAAGAAGAAAAAAACAAGGTAAAATAAAGAAAGAAAGACAAAATTGGAACACGCGAGCATGATCACGTACTACTCCTTGAAAATGTGATTTTTTATCTTTTTTTTCTTCACATTTCATAATAACAAGATAAAAAGGGAAAAGAGAAAATTAAATGAAAAAAAGCAAATTAAAATATATACGAGAGTATATGTATATAACAAAATGAAATACTCACCCTCGTACATTTGTGCATATTGAGGAAAACCTGCTGCACGTAACCACTTGCATGCCTCTTGTGCTTCGATTT